CATCCAACAAAAGTACTGAGTATTTATTTAAGAGTTGCACGAGTGAGGCTTGTATGGCTAAAGCGAGGGGTATGAGTGCGAGGAATGGTTGAAGTTGACCCCGTGTAGTGCGTGGACTTCTGGATGAATCTTTGATGTGATTGCAGGTATGATTGTGATTCCGTTTCTGGATGTGGCTGCCTGTGATTACATACATATATGGCTGAGAGGAGTCTCACAGTGACTGTGAGAAGTGATCGTCCTATATAAATAAGCCTTATATACATATATTTATATGTGCGTTGGGTATATGCGCGACTTACTGAGATCGTGCGCAAGGGGTTAACCAGGTTATGAATTGAGAGAAAATGGATATCCCCTTTTATCCTTTTGTTTTTTTAGAGATTTTTATAGTCGGACGTTGGTCCTGGGCCGGGATTCAAGGTCTTTGTCCAGGACATCCTAAGCCCTGGACTGTGCAGGGAGGGAATCTGCCCCCGTGCAAAGCTTATTTGCCCCACTCTGCACAAAGTGCAGAAGAGGGTGTGTGGTCTTCAACCACGCTTGGCGGTTGTCCAGCATCGAGAGATTAACCCTCAAGGCGCGTGTCAACCGACACTTGAGTGTCGAATGCCACCCTCGAGATTAACGAGGACCGCACAGTTATGGGCACTACATAGTACGCCATCATTGCGACTGCTTGCGTACGTTTGCATTGCTAGTCGATATGAGTGGGCCTTGCGTCCGCGCAATTTTATATCAATTCTCGCGCGCAACGCTTATCCGATTTCCGCATCGAGTTATGGGACGGCTACCGAGGGGCTAGGAGCGTTGTCGCGTTGTTTATGTTGTGTCGTTTCGTGTGTATGTGCGTGTGTTGTCATTTTGTGATTGTTAAAGTGGTGTGCGCGTGGTGCGTGGGATGCGTCCTAGTCGACCGACGGCGAGTCAAGCTTGGGACCTCAGCCCCCCCAAGATGTCGGTTCGCGTGCGGGTCCGATAGGCATATTACCGAGCGTACCCCCTATGCTACAGCGAACGAGAAACGCCCTCGGCTGGTCCACCTCTGCGATTGCAACCGAGTAACTTTCGTACTGTGGACTGGTAGCTCGGTGGGGATATGCCCACCGAAGGAAGGTGACAACTCCCGTAAGGTGGAGGTAAGCTGTGCCTCGCGTAGGCCCTATCCTGTCGTAGGGGCTCGCGAGAGGTATGGTTGGCGCACTCGACCAGAGCGGCCTAAGGAAGCTCCATTTGTATGTTCGCGACGAGATTGGTCCAACTCCTGCGTGACGCGACCGAGAGGGTCCCGCATTGCCACGCGCGGTGCCGGACCGATGCGCTCGACAATGGGCCTATAATACCCCACCAATTGGGCTTATGGTATATGGAACACTAAAACTTGAAATCCGGACTTGGAACTGGGGCCAAAACTTGGAGATGCGTCCTTCAAAAGAGACTTATAAGACACGAAGATGGCATAATCTGGGGTGTGTACTGCAATATATTGTATGAATCATTATGCTACACACAGCAGCTCTCTCTACGCGTCTATATGAAATATCTTGGTTGCGCCATCCACAATTGGTTCTTGCAAGTTGGCCAATCAATTTTTCTTCTTCTCTCTCTCTCCCTCCTCCCCCCTGAAATGCGGGGCGCGCTCTGCCGCACCCTCTCTCTCTCTCTCTCACACACACACACGCACACAAACGCACACACGCACACTCACACTCACACACATGCGCATAGACCTTGCTCTCACTCTAAGTCAGTATGTAGAGGTGGTCCATGTTAGTCCAAGTGTCCTGAATCATGAGGATGGAATGGGGACCTTTGTAGAAGAAAAATTCTGAAGGTTGTCACACTGATCCAATCCAGGGGGTTGTGGGACTTCCTTCTGGGACCTCACGCAGCCTTGTTGTCCCATTCCCATTCGTCCGGGCTGCAGAGTAGGGGTGTTGTCCCCCGTCTACAAGCCACTACCAGCCATAGCCGTCCGCCAGTGCGAAGTTTGTTCTCGCGGAATTAATTACCTCGAGTCTGAATAAGTGTAATGTACGAATCCCCCTACGTCACGCTCCTCCGTCTGGTTGACTCTGTGAGGATTGCCGATGGCGGCGAGCCCAACGTTCACACGGTTCATACTTTTTGAACGGAGTCCGAACAAGCCTGTTGTCCAAACATGTCGCCTCGGTCCCCCCTGACAACGCTTCCTCGTGTGAGCTGTAGACATCATCGCCAGGCGCCCATCTGGTCCGTGGCCGGAGACCTGGGTACGGAAGGCTCTGCGTCCACTCTAATGAGCGCGTTGGAGACACTACAGTGACCCCTGGTAGAGCACCTGTTTCCCCGCCGGCCGAGCCGGTACCCGGACGCCCAATCGCTGGTGGTTCATCGCTCGTTGTGTGGGCGCAAGTTTCAGCTCCTCTCCCGCGCAAAGGAGCTCGCCGGGTTTAGCGCGGGACGACATGTGCTCGCTGATAGATCTCAAAGGCATAACATAACATAATTTTTGTGGCTTGCACATCCCACCTTGGATTGTGCCTACTTCCTCACAGTTTCCCGAGGGAGGCGGAATATTCGTCGGTGCTGGCGCGCGGGGTTGTGATGAGCGCTGAACAGATGAATTTCTGCGGTTTCCTCATGGAAGTACAGGGCAGGAAAGGAAAGGAACGGTTGCTGGCGTGGGGATCATTGGTTTGGCGCCCAGCATTACACACGCACGTCATCTGCTTCTTTTTCCGTGGTGGACGATCTAACATTCTTCTTCTGCGGACAGGTATCATGGCCTGATCACCCGGTGGGCTCTTGCTCTGCTTTCGCTTCGGAGGGCAGGATAGAGAGCGATCAGTCGTTGTCGCACGAGGGAGGGAGGGAGGGAGGGAGGGAGGCGAGTGTGTTTGGCATGCAAGACTCGGTTTCCGTTGCGAGATAGACGTCATCCGTCGGTGCACATGGTGTATCGAGGAGCTTCAATCTCTTCTCATAGGAGCTCCCCCGGATATGAGATGGCGACCCGGAGAACGGAGGGGAGGTGGAGGAGGAGGGGGTTATATTGTCATGCTAGGAGAGCGATGTTAAAAGTGATGGCGGCTGAGGCAAGCAGTACCTCTTCGGACGTCTTTCGCTCTCAGCTTCCCAATAGCAGAGGCGGATGAAACCATATCTTGAAACAAGCCTTGGATGACAGTCTCGTGTTGTGAGTGGAAGGCTGCGAGTCCCTCACCGTGCCCTTTCCTTACCCCGGCGGCCTCTGCCTCGGCCTCCAGCGTTGTGCGAATGGAGACGGATCAGGGGGAGGGACTGGTGGGACGGCGAGTGAGGAAAGTCTTCGACGACCACGGTGCGTACTGTGGAACCGTGGTAGCCTATGATCGCAAGTATGGGTATTTCAGAGTACGTTATGACGATGGGGATGAAGAGGATTTGGATTCTGCGGAGTTGGAGTCGATCATATGCAAGAAAAGGGGAAGACCTCGCAAGTCGGATGCGCGTAGCAGTGTGGGAGAGGAAGAAACAAAATCGGGGTCGGCCGGAACTGGGGTGATGGGAAAACTGATGTCGATGGCATCGCCGAGAGCGAAGAGGGGGAGAGAGAGAAAGCGCGTCGATGGGTTGAAGGGCGGGCTTCCGAGAGGCGGATGCGAGATTGGGGAAATTGTGGGAACGAGTGACAGCGACTCCGAAGAGGGAAAACACCGAAGGCGTCCAAGAGTGTCCGGATCAGACGGACGACAAAGGGGGAGCCGTGCTGCCGCCGATTCGATCGGAGGGCAGGGTGGCGATGGTAGGGACGGCGCCGGGAAGGCGGCAGATACGAATGGGCGATGTACCATGTTGACGAAGGCAAGTTTGTCGAGGGCGACCAAGGTTGGAATGGAGATGACAGGAAGGAAACGAGAGGAGGGGGAGGGAAAGGAGAAGGGACGCGACGAGAAGCAGAAGGGAGGGGACGGGGCGAAGCAAACGGGGGGAGAGAGGTTGAAGGAAAAGGAACTCACAATTGACACGAAAGCAATAGTAGAGGGCGAAAGGAAGGCCATGAAGGACACGGAAGGAAAAGTAGAGGGTCGCAAGAAGGAGACGGAAGGAAAAGTAGAGGGTCGCAAGAAGGAGACGGAAGTGAAGCGGGAGGGGATGCAGACGAAGGAGACAGTAGGGGGAGAAGAAGGGGAAGAAAAGGGAACGAAGGACGCTCAGGAGGTGTCAGATGGCGGGCCGAAGGGGAAGAGAGATGGCGGCGAGATAAAGAATAGCATGGAGGAGAAGAAAGGAGAAGGGGCGGCGGAAGTACAGCGCATCGTTCCGAGGGGGCGCGGCGCAGATGCGCAAGGAGAGAGAACGGTAGAACGTCGCCGCTCACGGCGGTTAGAGCTCGTCGCGTACAATGGACAGAAGGGCGACCCGGTTCGCGGGGTGGAGAAGAGAGGGGGGAAGGAGAAATCGAAATCGTCGCAGCGAGCCTACGGCCCGAAGAGGTTGAATGGGGAGATATTGACACCGTCGGCGGCGGGAAGAGGGGGACAGAGCGCGGCAGGAAGCACTATTTGTATGCCTATCATTATTCTTCCGGACAGTCCATCGCCGGAAAGGAAAATCACGAAGGGAGGAGGAAGTAGCGACGGCCGCGACAGAAGAGAAGGCGGTTTGGGCATCAGAAGCGTGCGGTGGGCGATGAATGTCTCTGCGTCGCCTGCGTCTCAAAAGAACAGAGGCGATAATGGCGCGACGCCGCGAAGAGAAGTGGAGATAGTGATCCTTCCGGACAGCCCGCTCAAGGAGAACACAATGTCGACGAGTGGTGGTGATGTTACAGCAGAGGGGCGGAAAGAGACAAAGCCGTCTGCTGAGGCCTGCGGCGCGGGTACAGTGAACGTGTGCGCGTCTTCCCCGGAAGGGGATGTTGGATGCGATTCGAAGCGTGCCCAGGAGGCCTTGCGAAGGGACGACTGTTCGCTTACCGCGAGGGTGGCCGATGAGGAGGGAGGGGAAGGGGAAGAAGCTACTATCGCCGTCTCTGATATGAGAGTGGACGGCGAAACGACGTCCGACGAGGAAAGGAGGGTGGGCGGAATTCCTCTTCCTACCACGGCAGCAGCCGGTTTGGTATGTGATGACGGTATTCGTTCTTGTATATCAGGTGGGCGAGAGGAGCGGATTGATGAAGGGAGCTGTGTGGAAAAGTGTGCGGAGGTCCCGGCGCTGTCGGCACTGCCGGAGAGAAGTTGTACCAAGGAACAGGGGGAGTATAGTGCTGAAAGGACGGGTGGAGGCGATGGCGGCTGTAACGAGCGAAACTTGGAACCCGTGGCTAGCAAGGCCGCCTCCACGGTGCTCTCGTCGGGGAATGAAAATGAGCCTTCCTTAAGAGAAGCAGCAGAGGGATTGTGCGTACAGGGAGAGGGCAGGGGGGAGTGGAGACAACCGCCTTCGGATAGCGAGGGCCCTGGTCGTGGAGAAGAAGCTCCGTCCACGGGAAAGGAAATGTCGGAGCCAGGCTTGCGATCGTCGACGGCTGTGACTGAGGCAGCGGGGCAGGTGGGTACGGCGCCGGCGGATGACACTAAAGGTTCCCCAAGCCATTACGGTGATGATGTTGCAATGGCCACGAGGTCTTCAGCACGGAGGAGTGGAGAGGAGGCGCGGAACGAGAGAGAAGAGAGATGTCGTCAAGACGTCGCGTCCGGGGCGGGGATAGCCAAGGGGAAGAAAGTGGGGACGGGTGTAGGTTTTGAAGGGAGGGATGGTGAGGGGGCGGCAAAGGGATTTTTATCGACGCCGCCTCAAGTCATCGCGCGCTTGACGCCACAGGAGACAGGATCTCCTTCTGTGCCCGAAAAGCATGCGGAAGGCGGGGCGGCGCCAGTCAATGCGGCGAAACCGTTGACAGTCATCAGAACAAGAAGGGACGCGGAGATGGCCTCCGCAAAGGCGGGGAGCGGAGGAGCTGGAGAGAATGGAGAGGGAGGAAGAGACGAATGCGGGTTAATTACGTCGAGGGAACTGCGAGGCAGTAGCAGTGGCAGGAGGAAGGAGCTGAAACACAGGACCGGTCCTTCTGGCATCAAGAGACGTCGAGGTTGCAATGGGGAGAAGAAGGCGGAATCATCTACATCGCAGCTCGTGATCTGCCTCGCCGCCACGTCGTGGCAGCAGGGCGTGAATGTCAAGACAGCTGAAAATGCTGGCCTCCTAGAAGCGATGGGCTCTCCTTCCTCCTCCGCGAACCCGGTCTCGCCGCCTGCTAGCTCGGCGAAAGAAGGAACGAGGATCAGTCGCCTGGTCGCGGCATCGGCAGAAGCAGTCGCGGACGGGGGAAAAAGAGCGTTAGGAGGAGGGGGAGGAACCGGTGGGGGAGAATCGGAGGGAGAGAGTGACCAGGATCAAGTGCGACGCGCTATGGAGAACGACTGTGCCAGCTGCTCGTTGCCGCTTGTAGGGCGAGAGGAGCAAGAGAGACTACTGGGAGCGGGGGCACAGGAGGTGATGGTGGTGGTTCGAGGGAAGGGAGAGTTACTGACAGTGTTTGGCGAAGAGGAGGAGCGTGCGGCCCAGCAGCAGCTGAACGCCAGACGAGTAGGTCGTCTGGCGAAAGGCGATAACCGTGCTGAGTTAGTAGAGAGGAGTGCGCCCTCTACCCCCGCGGAAGGTTCGGCGCAACAACGGCAGCCGGTTAAGTCAGAGGGGATGGTAGACAAGGGGGAGAGCGGCGAAGGGGGCGATGAGAGGGCTGCTGTGGTTGCAACCCAGTGCGCGTCGTTGGCTGGGATGCGGGAGACGAGAGCGCAAGCCAAGGAGAGAGAAAAGGCGCGAGAGGTGGGGAAGGTGCTTTCCCCGCCGAGGTCGTCTAGCAGCAAGCGAGTTAGGGCGCCTGTAGAGTTGGCTGAGGCAGTACGCCAAGCAAGGGGGGCGGGGGAGGGTGGCGGAGAGGAGGCTGTTGAGCCGGCGGCGAAACGGTCGCGCGTCTCCTTTCGCACCGATGGCATGCTGTCGTCAGACGACGCGGTGTCGCTGAGGCCTCATCGCGCAACGTCGGGGAGGAGGGAGGAGGTGAGAGCGAAATTGAAGAACAAGCTCGGGAAAGGAGGGGGGAACGATGGCCAAAAGGGATCACAAGAGCAGGAGAAGGCTGGTGTGGACGACGGCGATGAGGATGGCGAGGAAGAAGACGACGACGACGAGGACTATGACGTGTGCGCTGAACGGCGCGGGCCATCACGGGGGGAAGACGCGAAGGAGGGACGCCTTCGAAGAAGAGTGATTTCGTCGACACCTACGAGGGGAGAGGGAGAGAGCGAAGGTGAAGACGGGGTTCCGAGAGAGGCACCAGATGCGAGGGGCGGGAACGACGAGCCTCCGCCCCGTCTTCTTCTGCCGCCGTTGCCCCCTTGCAAACCCCTCCCGCAGTCGTCTTTGGATTTGCCTGTGCCGGCGAATTGCGTCAGCGAGTTGATGGGTGTTTACGCCATGCTCAGGACCTTCAGTCTTCGCTTGTTCCTCAGCCCTTTTACCTTCGAGACGTTCTGCGGCGCATTGACCTGCAAGAAAGTCAACTCCTTGGTCGACGGAATCCACCTGGCGTTGTTGAAGGTGCTTCACCAGCGATTCTTGCAAGCGGCGGAAGATGTCAGAGGGAAGAAATGGCCATGCGTAAGGTGAGAGAGAGAGATGCCGCGATTATGCCTCTCGATCTTTTGTTGTGGACGGAAGGATAGTGTGTGTAATGGGAGTCCCACCAAGTGCGTTTCAAAAGTTGGGTTTATCGGACTTTATTATCCTCCCGTCGATACGTGCATGCGTTTTTTACGCACACAAACACTGGTACTACCGAACCGACTACCTATTTACAGACGTCGTTTCCCCATTCCATAGACATACCATTTGTTGTTATACGAAGGCTATTGGAGTTTCGGTGGGACGGCACAGCTATGACAAGCGGAATGCCAGTTAGACACTTCCTCAGGCCACTTACCCGCAAGAATCGTTGCATGGAGGTAGATTCGGAGCAGGATCCGGCCGCGAATGGACCGAAGACACTCTAATCAAGACAATCCGTCACCAAATCGATTAAGCTAATCAACCACTCAATCAACGGTTTAATCGACCGCTCAATCAACCCCCTAATCAACCCTTCAATCAGAGTTCCCCCCCCCCCCTTCAATCGACCATTTTCGATAAAACCATATCTAATCAACCGCCCAATCGATCGCTATATCTGCTCCACTCAATCTGCCGCACTCGATAAGTCACGAGCAATCAACTACAACACTCCTCAAGGAGCCTTTCAATCAATCACCCTCCGCGGACCACTCACTTAATCACTCAACTCGACCACTCATCAACTATTCAGCATCCACCCAGTCAACCGCTCAGTCATACTAGTTAACTAGCAGATCCACACGTTTGCCCAATTAATCAATCAATCAATCAATCAATCAATCAATGAATCAATCGCACAATCAATTGATTAATTAACAACCAACCAATCAGTCAGCCATTCTGTCACTCAATCAAGCACGTAATGGCCCGAGTTAATCGGCCAGTCATTAGCCAATCAATCAATCAACCAACCAATCAATCAACCAACCAACCGATCAATCAACCAACCGATCAATCAACCAACCAACCAATCAATCAACCAACCAATCCATCGGTCATTTGGATTGTTAATAATCATGCAGTGGGCAATTGTTGAGCTGGTGCGATCGTTGGTTCTTCTTATGGATGATTTAGATGACACGTATTTGTCGATGACAATCAGCAAGATCAGGGAGCTTGCTAAGGATTCAGAAGTCAAGCTTGTCACTGTTCTTCTGAATTATTGATCCTGCCGTTGACGATTCAGGCAGGCCAACGGCGTGGTTGGCGTCTATAGGCGTTATATTTCCCTCGCGTTAGAGGCGGGGTCGTCTGAAAGCGACCGGACGAAGGCGGAAGCGCAAACGTGCATGATGGTCTGGGAAGTAGCATTCATTGATCAGCAAGCACCAAAAAAAATGTCCATACTTGCTGGGCGATCTCTCGGTGTCAGACACTATAGGGAACACTGAATCTCGGGAGCAACGGGATCAGATCTTTAGCCAACGGCTATTACTATAATTGGAAAAGGCTACAGGAGGTGGTAAAACTTGGGTGCTGCTGGGGTTCCGAATGGTTGACGTCTCATCCTTTACGCGGCCAGGCATTGTTCTTGTTTAATAATTGGACATAATTGGATCGAGGAAAGGATAGCTGTACGCTATATTTATGTTTGCGTCGCCGGGCAGATCAGATTGGAATTTTGATTGATTGGCCGCTTTGATTGGGATAAGCGATTAGTATGTGCACCATTTAGACCAGTTATTTGACCAGAAGATCGGACCGCTTCGTTGTTCTTTGGGCACGAATGCCGGGTATGTTTCGAGTCCTCTTCAGGAAGGCAAGCGATGGTGCGTCGAGGTATCGGGCCGAAGAATGTAGGTTTTTGTTGGGTACGAGCGGATAGTGACACGCATAGCCGTTGTTGGGGACAGTAATTCTTTTGTGTGAATCTTGGCAGCGTACATCTTACTTGGGGTTAACGTTGTCGTCGTCTTCATTGTCCTACTCGTCCATCCGTCCGGCCATCATGATTGTCATCATCATCATCAGCATTGTGATCATTGTGGTCATCATTCGGAGAGGTAGCAAAGGGGGGCCAAGGATGAGCAGGAGCTTCTTGGTTGTGGTGTCATCAGTTTCTGACCTCTGGCGGGGTGATAATGGTGGATGAGGTGGATGATGACGAGTATGGGGGAGAGGAGCAGATGAGCAGGGGAAAGAGGTGTGTTCAGGTTATCTACGTGTTTTGCGGAGTAGTGTGTTGACGATGATCATAGTGGTCCAGTGATAGTGTGGTCTTAATAAGGGCCTTGGGTGGGAGGGTAGGAAGCTGGACAGAACGTCGATAGTGTCAGGGGCTACCACGTTTATTTCGTTTCATGAAATGGGAACTGGCCACATCGACCAGAAATTGAGAACGAGCTGGTTGGTGTGCTCTTGGGTATGGTGTGAAGGCCTGTGATGTTTGGGTGTGGGGGTTCCTACTCGGCGTCGTCGAGCGGAGATCTCTCTCTCATCTGCCTCCTCTATCTCTCCTCTTCGTCTCTTTCCTTTGTCTCCTCTTTCTCCTCTTTCTCCACTTACCTTCCTCCGGCTCTCCTTCCTGTCTCCTCTCTCCACTCTCCTTTCTCCGTCTCTCCTCTCCTCTCCTGTCTCCCTTCTCCTCTCTCTCTCTCCCCTCCCCTCTCTCCTCTCCTCTTTTGTTGCTCTCCTCTGTCGCTTTTCTTCTTGCTCTCCCCTCTGCGCTCTCCTCTCTCCTCTTTTTCTCTCTTCCTCTCTTCTTTTGCCCTCCTCTCTCCGCTCTCCTCTCTCCTCCTCTGCTCTCCTTTACTTCGTCTCCCTCCCCTCCCGTCTTCGAAACTCTTTTCTCGCACCGCCTCCCCGCCTCCCTCCCTCTACCTCTCTCTCTCGTTCCCCCTTACTACTGTTCCGAGCACCTCCCTTCTCCAGCCCTCTCTTTCTCGTTCCCCCTTCACCACTCTTCCGAGCATCTCGCTATCCCAGCCTCTCTCGTTCCTGCTTCACTAGTCTCTGAGGGCCTCCCACTCCCAGCCTCTCTTTCCCCTGTCTCACACGCGCTGTGCGCCCACACGCACACCCACACATTACATCATCCCCTGTCGGCGACACGCCAACAGACACGGCTATTTGTCATCGACCATTTTGCCGGTTGAGATTGACAGCCGCCGTCATCGCACCGTTGGCAATATTTCATCCGACTCCCGAAACTTGTTTGTATCACCTTTTGCCGGATGAAAGGTCTGTTTGTCATCGACCATTTTGCCGGATGAAAGGTCTGTTTATAACCTTTCACTGGCAAACATTCTTCACGATTTTTCTTAGATGTGCTGATCACTGGCATGAAGTACGGAGAATACAGACAGCAAATGCAGAGGGTGAAAGTCGAAACAGTTGGAGCGAGATCGATAGCGAGATAGGGAGAAGGTGGTAGGGAGGGGAGAGAGAGGGGAAAGAAACCGAGGCGAGGAGGGAGGGCGAGGGGTAGGAGAGAAGTTGGCGGGAAGTGAAATGATGAGGGAGAAGGGGCGTCGAGAGGGAGGAAGCGAGATAAGGGAGGTGGGAAAGAAGAGGAAGGTTAGCGAGGACGGAGCGACTTGGCGGGAAGTGAAATGATGAGGGAGAAGGGGCGTCGAGAGGGAGGAAGCGAGATAAGGAGGTGGGAAAGAAGAGGAAGGTTAGCGAGGACGGAGCGACTGAGGGGTTTCCTGCGTACAGATAAGGGATGGAGATCGAGAGCGGAAGAGAGGAGAACGGAACGGCTGAAGAGTAGAGGAGTCCCAGAAACAGGGGGAAAAGAAATAGTCGGATTAGGACGAGGAGAAGGATGAGGGGAATGGTAGGGAGTAAGCGAGAACGAGGATGAGGAGAATGGCAAGGTGTAGGAAGAGGAGGATAACTGGGTAGAGGAGAACCAGAAGCACCCACCAGGATGAAATGGCGTAAAAAAAAAAGACATCAAAGAGACAATTCGTAGTGGTATAACGTTATTGTGGCATAACAGGGAGAAGGATTCGACCCTGGTCCATTAGGTTAAACCACTGCAGTACTTCTTAGAGTCGTGCCCGTTACGTTAACGCGCCACGATTTAAGGAAACGTACGGGCTCTACTACAGGAGCGCCCAAATTCATCCGACTAGAAACGTTTCTACTCTATTTTTTTTTCCGCGGCCGATAGCTGGGCCAAGTACTGGTGGTTTAAAAGCCAAATGCTGTATCAACAATGCTATACACGCAGGATCCAGATAGGCTTAGTGTAAAAAAAAAAAAAAAAAAAAAAAAAAAAAAAAGATAGGCTTAGTCGAATTTGAACATACAATATCGCCATATGAGCGAGATAGGAACAGTAGTAGGGGCAGGAAGGAGAAGAAGAAAAGGAGTTGGGAAATAGACTGCTTTTTCCTGCTGAGCTTTCCATTTTCTAGACCAGTGTACTCTTATGTTATACAAAACACTCTTCTGGCTTGTTGTAGTCGATTTCTCTTTCGTGAATCAACAGGCTATCATGTTCTTCTTTCCACCGAGACTCGGTCATCTCGAATGAACACGGAATAATCGGACCCGTCGCCCATTCATTATTCTTAACAATCTACCCAAATCCAATGGCCTCCTTCTGAGTTTGGCGGCTCTGTGTCAAGCTCTCATTTCATCACGTAGATCAGATTGCTTAGGGAGGTTGCTCAAAGATCATGCCGAGCGAATGGTGAGAGATGTGTGGAGCCTTGTGGCACATGCCATGTGATTGCTGTCGCGGCTGGAGGCGCTGCCTATGCTAAGGTGATGACGACACTCTGCAGTAGGGCCGCAGTGTGTCCGCCGTAGTCGACCAGCTCACGGCCGTTACACTCGGGGGCCAAATTTTGAACTCCCACGGGAACAGTAATGGTAAAAAAAAAAAAAAAGAAAGAAAAAAAGTTATGGTAATGCCGCGGGGAGTGCGAGATAGTATGAAACAAGAGGAGCATGCAGCTTTGTGTGATCTTCTCCTATCTAAGACTCTCGCTCTCGAAGGGCGTGAGCCATGCTACAAAAACTGTGGGACCACCTTCGTCGGCATTTATTAGAATGATGGTGGTATGTCGTAGAGGGGCAGCTGTGAAAAGGGGGCACGTTCTGAGGGGTGCGAATGGTATTTAGCCTGAACTTAGGAGGCCGGTTTCAGGCATTTCCAGGTCTGTGTCATTCATCCGGCAACAAGAGGCTGTTCTGTTTCCTCTCAAAAGTAACTAACGCAGTGGTTCGACGGTTGACTTGATGAACACTACATTGTTTACGCCAGCAATGTTGATGAACACTACATTGTTTACGCCAGCAATCACACTACCCGGGTAGTTTGTGTGCTTACTATTCCATGATATTATGATGATTCCAGAAAGCGGAAGAAATAAACGAAGGTTATACACATGCACGAAATAAGAAGTCAAACCAAGGTATATCTTTCTCGGCCTTTTGGCTAAGATCAAGTGTAGTTTCTGTTCTGATCAGTTTAATATCTGATCCAAAAAAAAAAAAAAAAAAAAAAAAAAAGTCAAACCAAGCTATGAAGAGTTGCTCTGCTGCGCGCTGTGAGATGGGGAGTTGCTCTGCTGCGCGCTGAAAGATGCGGAGTGGCTCTGCTGCGCGCTGAAATATGGGGAGTTGCTCTGCTGCGCGCTGAAATATGGGGAGTTGCTCTGCTGCGCGCTGAAACATGGGGTTCCGGATTCTCTACAGCGCTAAACCCAAGACTGAAGCCGGGATGCCGTGGGCTCCTGAATATCATGTGACGGATTAGGGACGGCAAAGGCTTGTGGGTATTAGTAGTTTCTTCATTCTTGGAGTGGCAAATTCGGACGAAAACGTAATTTCGATTTTTTTTTGGTAGTATGAAAATGGAAGTTGCCCAAAAATGTGTAAGGAAACCAATCATCATATCTTTGGCCAAATAGCCTACTATTTAACGGACTGTTCGTGACTTGGTGGTGTGGGAATTACCCCCGGACATGACATTACGTTGAAAAACAAGAGTGTACGAAAAGTAGGGAATAGTAATACAAATCAACGAACTCTGAACGGTGACCTTGTTTGATGAAGCAATATCCAGGAACCGAAGATCGAATGTTCATTGGTAGGGGTCATTTTCCTTGTGGTGGGTTGAGTCAGTTGGTCTTCGAGGTCGTTTCTGCTCTTTTCTCTCTGCAGTAAGCGCGCAGGATGCACAGCTAAGAACTTGGCCCAGTGTGTGGAACTGACACTTAAAAAAGAAGTGTTGCCTGCATAAATTTTTGTTGTCCATCAATCTATCAGTGAATGATTTACAATTGGGAGACATGGACGAAAAACAATAGAAATAGGGGTGATAGAGAAGAAGAAGAGAAATATAGAAGAGAAGAGAGTATATCCGATTACCAGAAATAAAGAAAAGAAAAGATGAAGACGGAAGGAGAGCGAGGAGTTTTGTCTCATTTGCTTTTGGTTTGGTCCCTTCTCCTTGGTGTTTGGTTGCCTTCCAATCGTTCCCTTTTCAGGCAAATGAAGTGGTCGCTGCTGGATGAGGTGACATGGCCAGAGTACTTGCTATTTTACCTGGTGGCAAGGAATTTCGGGAAGGAGAGAGGGCTTGATCTTGTGCGCTCAGGTCTTCTAAAGTCGGAGTATTACGTGCTGCCTCTGGAGGTTAAGTTGGCAATGCTGTCCTTCCTGTGTGATGATGCTTTGGAGACGTGTGATGTAAGGGCTGAAATTCTCGTCAGAGAGAGTAATGAATTGGAGGGTGGCAAACCGATGCCCATATGTAGGAGAGCGGAGATCGATCTGATCAGGCCTTCAACGCCTGTGCCGAAGGCTGATACTTTGCAATTGACTGCGGAGAAGCAGAAGAAAAGGAGAGGGAGGCCGCCAAAAGTTAAAGTTGAAGTGTCAGAGATTTCTGAGCCGCCAGCCGTGCAAAGGGTGGAAGAGTTGGATGTCGTGAAGGCGGTAGAAGGAGATGATGGCAATGCAGACGAGTGCGTGTTGTGTGGCATGGATGGCAACCTGCTGTGCTGCGACGGCTGCCCTGCTGCTTTTCACACACGATGTGTTGTTGGGATGGCGAAGATGACCATTCCATCGGGCCCGTGGTTCTGTCCAGAGTGTGTTATTGCCAGACGGGAGGTTGCTGGGGCAGATCGGCTTGCAGGACTCAGACTGGAAGCTCTTGGAGCGGATCTTTGGGGGCGAATGTTCTGGTTTTCTTGCGGGCGTGTGCTTGTGTGAGTTAAGAATAACACCCACTTCCATTCGTCTTTCCCCGTCGTTGCACTGTTTCTTTTCTTCTTCTCAGTTTCCAGCTCTGGCCCTATGCATGTGCCATTTTTGTAATAATTTGTTCTATAGGACAATAGCACCAGTGCGGTTCAATCATTGTGGCGATGTCGATGTCTATCCCATCAGAGGAACGGCTTCTGCCCGGTGGGGCGGAATTTTGCCGGGGTGACTGGAGGCTTATCATGCTGATCGTCGGGGATGAGCTCTCTGATACCTCTCTGATTGTCTGGGGGTGTGTGCTCAGAATAACACGTGACGGTCTTCCTTCATCTGGCTTTGTCATTGGACTTTTGCTCTCTTCTTTCTGAGGCCTCCCTTACGCCATCACTGTCCTAGGAAAGAACAAAAATGAGCATTAATTTTGGCCGATCATGCAGAAATATGGAATCTTTCTTTCTTGTGGATACGTTGGAGAACGACTTGATGATTGTGTGGATCATTGAACCTCAAATCGATATTTTCGTAGTTTGTTAGTTGGTAATGCATGAGTGGGCTTATCTAGTCAAGATTTTGATGTGTGCATGGGCTACTCCGTACTCAGGCAAGGCACCATTTAGAACCAACTGGTGCTGTTGCAACGGGCCCACACTTCGTCACGCAAGATAAATCTCTTCCTCTCTCTCGCTCTCATTTATGTATACGGGCAGCCACTAACATCAACAAGGTAACTCTCTTCCTCTCTCTCTCTCCCTCCCTGTCCACCCTCAGGCCTCTCTCATCCTCTCTGAATGCCTTCCTCTGCTCTCTCTCTCTCTCTCACACACACACACACACACACACACACACACACACACACACACACACACACACACACACACACACATCTCTACAGCTATGGGCTCCGGGTGCCGTTGTGCCTCTCAGCCTCACTCGATGCTGAACCGCACCAGATTGCAACAGGGCTTCTGTGACAGGCTTGAACACAAATGGTGTGGTTGCGTGGCTGCCACTGGACTATCGTACTTTGCTGCAGTTCTCAGTCTTGGACTTCTCGGACCGCTACGCTTACTTGCCGGCCGAGGCTGGTCTTCAACTCATCTGGAAGTTACCGGACTTTCCTGGGACTGAGCTGGTGTTCAGACTGGACCGACAGGTAACTGAGTGACTGGCCTAAAGGCCTACCGGCCTATCACACCTATAGGGCCTACTGGCACGGACAAGCCTACACAACCTGCTGGACTTAAACCACCACTACATGGCCCCAACCAAGTTGAGAATCACTATTGAGCCTCTGGAAAAAAAATTGGAGGCTCGGGGGAAGTGGACCAACGGCTGGCGGCGCTAGCCAAAACAAAAACCAAAACGCGGTGCTAGCGTTTCGGCAGAGCTTGGCGTCCAGTGGGAATCCGCCTTGTACAAAAGAGGCCCGGATGTACCGGTGGTTTAATGTACGGACGAGCCTGCAGGTTGAGACTATGGCATATGGGATGCAGGGCTCTGGGACTGGAATTGGGACTTCGACGCTGAGACGCTGCTGAGATGCGTGGAATCCTTTCACTATTTAGCAGCTGTATGTTCCTTTGGCACTCTGGCAACGTAGATAAGGTAGATCCAACTTTCAACAATCAACGTAGTGAACGGTACCAAGGCTGATACAAGCAATTGCAGTATTTTGCATGAGGTATGACAGCTGCAAAATCCTTTCGCTATGTAGCAACTTTATGCCCTTTGACACTCTGGCAAGGAACATACGGTAGCTCCGAGTTCCAACAATCGGAGATGTGAACAGCACTAAGGCTGACACAAAAAAATGCAGTGCTTTGCGTGAGGTTTGGCAGCTGCATGTTTCTTCCGCTGAATGTTGTATAACAGATGGCATGGAGTTATGCTCTCTAAAATGATGGAGGATATGATAGAATGCGGTGCTGCACTATGTTGGGTTGCAACACCAAGATACCACTTTTGGTGATGGGCTTGGCATGGAATACCCAGCCAGATTGCTGTGTCATAGACCCAGGCCGTGCTTGTGCTGACGCAAGTAAGTGCAGTTCTTTGCATGAGGTGTGACAACTGCATGTTTCTTCGACAGAATGTTTCGTTACAGATGGCATGGAGGTATGCTCTCTAACATGATGGTAGAAATAATAGAACGAGGTGCTGCACTATGTTGGGTTGCATTACCAAGATACTGCTTTTAATGGTGGGCTTGGCATGTCATACCCAGCTGGATCGTTGTGTAGTAGGGCCAGGCCCCACTTGTGCTATGTTCGTGCGAAGGAAGCATGAATCTGGTCCTAACAATGACCAGGCTTGCTTGAACGGGCATACGAGGAGGATGTCAGTGCCGAGATAACCAAGCTGCCTTTGTTTGTTTGTGCTAAGAGAGCATGAACTTGGTCCTAAGCCCAGACCTTGCACCAGTGCTTTCCAAGCCCAGCATGCTGGTGTCGAAGTTCCCTCCTCTTCTTATTGCCTTCCCCCCCCCCCCTCGTCTCTTGTAATGTTTAAGCAGTTGACAGACAGCAGCAGGCTCGGGTGCCTCACAAATTGTGTTTGCAAAGGGTGCCTATAATTGGAAACATTGTGAACGCCCCACTGTGAATGCCTCAATCCCTTTTCTTTTGTCACTTTTTGATATTAGCTTGTCACGTAGCAGACTGTACCTGTGTTGGTGACATTGGATGGCTTCTATTTTCTCTCTACGTGAGTTTTTGGTGTCCATCCCGGGATTTCATTGTGAAGCACAACTGCCTAGGACACCCTTCGGGTTGCGGTGGTGTACACGGCAGCTGCAGGAAACTCCATCTAGGCTTGCAATGTATTGGGAGTCCAGGGTCTGGCAAAGTTTGACAAAGTACGGTTGATGCAGTGGTGGTGTAAGGCATTATCATTGTCCTGTTCGCCATTCCTGTTTCGTATGCCAGCATTCTTTGGGGCTGGTGCGTCCTATGTTCTGATTTGTGCTGTGGTTGCAGTGGTGAGTTACCGGAGTGCAGACTAAGCTTGTTGGACGTATGCATGATGACACTGACAGGCATGATTTATGTCTGCTTGCTCTTTAACAGCGTGGAGGATTCTGCCACTGGCACTGTTCCTCATTACTATAGCCCCCCAGACATGCCCAAGCTTCTGGCTTACTTGGACGAGTGCCCTGGAGGATGCCAGGGTCTGAGAGAGGCAGTAGCAAAGTGCATCGAAGCTTGCCAGCCCTGGATGGAAGCTCGGCGGCGGGAGTGGGAAATGGAGACAACGAAAGTGCAAGTAGATAAGAATGAGAAGGAGAATGAAAGCGCGGCTGTGGTGAAGACTGAGGAAGCAACCACCGATCCAGTCGATCCATGTGAACTAGCCTGTGGAAAAGATGTTGCCAAGGTTGAAGGTGTTGGTAGGGTCTCCCCAAAGCCAGAATCAGTCCCAGCTGTGAAGGGGGAGCAAGACACAGTAAGTGATGGCGAGGGGAAATGCAGCAATGTTCTTTCTTCACAGAGCGTTGATGCTGGTTTGGCTGTTGGAAATGGAGGGGACCTCTTAGGCAGAGGCAAACATGCTGAGGATCCCCAGGGAATGGCCCATGAAAGCGGTATACTTCTGGATAAAGCCCTTACGAATGTATTCTGTGAAGACAAAGTAGATAGTGAGGAACTTATGGGAAGGGATAAGAAGCAGAGTTTGGAGGGAAGGGGGGATGACAAATTGATAGAGAAGGATCCAAAGCTGGAGGCAGGGACACTGTCCATGGATATCATTGGAAAGGAGGTTCCTGTATCAGGTTGTAAGCTTGAATGCGCCGGTGGTGCTCCAGCAAGCCTTGCCTTTGTCAATGAGCAGCAGAGGAGAAATGGATTGGATGGGGGTGAGGTGGTCTTCCCCTTTATCGAGGCTGGTTCGATGGATGGTCTTGGGAAACCTGTGCCTGAGTGTGATGTCGCAGCTGAAGAAGTAAAAAGTGTAGTGCACTCGGACGATTGGCAGAGGAGGGAGGTGGAGCCTAGTGCCTCTTTGAGAGAATCAGAGCATGGGAGTTTGGGGCAGGATATCAAGCCTGCTTCTGTCAGCAATGCCTGTGTTGATGAGCTGGATCAGAGGGAGCCCAAGAGAAGAAGACTGGCATGCGGTGGGGTTGCTGAAGAGGGAGCTGCTGATGTCAGACCGTCCACTGATGAATCTGCATCGATATGTGATGTGCTGCCAGCCAATCCGCCTGAAGCGTTTAAGGATGGAAGTTCCACAGATAAACGAAATGGAATAGAGTCTGGAGCATGTGACAATGCAGGCATTTCAGCAAGTGGGCCGAGAAGAAACAGTTTAGAAGAGGCCAGGGTGGTTGTAAGCGTTGAGATCTGCTCTCGTGAAATTGGGTCAGCAGGTCTCGACTGTGGGACAAGTATGCTGGAGGAGAGGAGAGCTGTTGTAGAGGGGACAACGAGAGAGCGGGATATAGACCAGCAGAGGCTGAGCGTAGAACAGAAATCCCTAGAGAATGATAAGATGGGAGCTGCAAGTAGTGCGGTTGTTTCTTCAGTTGGTGTTGAACTCAAGGACTGTTGCAATAGAGTCAAATTGGCGGATGACTTACGAGAACAGGGGAGCAACTTAACATTGTCTGCTGATGACAACCAAAAGATGGCCGAGGAGATTGCTAGAAGAGAAGTGGAGGAAACTGCGGGAGGAGATGAGCACGGAACTGTTGCGAGGACAGCCAACAGGTGTGGTCCACTGTCGGTTGATGACAAAGAGAAGATGATGGTGGGGAATGGTAGAAGAGATGTGGAGGAAACTGCTAGACGAGACGAGGAAGAAACTGGCAGGAATGTCATCGAGTGCGGTCCATGTGTGCCTTTGCCTTTGGGCACAAACCTGTGTGATGCTAAGACTTTAGATGGGATGGTTGATGGAACAGCGGGTCAGGGGTGCTTGGCGAGTAACAATGCAACTGCAACAGAAGCACTTGAAGCAGAGCATCTGAATCGAATTGGTGGAAAGTGGAATGAGATGTTCACCCATGTCAATAGATATGCTCTTGCAGAACTCTCTGCAACGGCTGCAGCGAAGCTGATGAGTGTGCCAAATAGTGGTGGTGCACCAGCGGACTCTGCAGCAAAAAAGAAGAGACGGCGGGCTGATTTGACAGAGCAGATGCGTGTTTTCTCTGAGACTCTGGAGAAATTTCACTGGCCACAGAAGTCGAAGATCACCACTCCTGACAAATGTGGATGGTGCAGTATGTGCAAGAATGGTTCTCTGAAAAAGGTGAGATGCCAAGCTGACGTGAAAAGTCAGGGAAGGGAGGTTCTCTTGCTGTTGACTCCTTTACGCATCAAAGTTCGCTGTGTTTAAGATCACTTTGGATGAGGGTGTGTGTGCGAATGGCTGAGGTATGTAGCCTAGAACATTAATAAAGCTTGTAACGGGCTGCAGGAAATGCCATCAGCGTGATAATTTAACAAGTTCAACCATTTGGTTGTTTGTGAAAATGGGCTCTTCAAGGAGCCTTTGAAAGTGATGTGTGATTTGGAACTTGGTACGCACAACCCTCCAGTTTGTTTGGAACAGTGCCCTTATAACTGTTGAAGTCCATCATCCATGAACAATCACGTCTTCCCTTACCCCTATGGTTGATCAGTTGGCGTTTGCAGTTGAATTTTGACCAGGGCAACTTTTTTTCTCAAATGGCTGTGAGTTCAATTAGCCAGTTGTTTGGAGACTGTTCTTTATGACCATCATCGCTCGAAGTGAAAAGTGGGCTATGTGTGACACCGGTTGATGGGTCCAATGGTTTGGGGCTCTGGAAGGGGAGTCCCAGTAGTGAGCTGTGGGTGTGTCTCTCTGTGTTGGAATCACTTTCATGCTCGGCTCAAAAAAGTTTGCGCCATGTGGCAGTGTTTGTGTTTTCCAGCCCAAGGTGAACACAAAAAGAATTTGTGCCGCATGGTGCAAAGCATTTGTGCTGCACTGCATGATTTCTCTTTGCATCTGCTGAGTGACTCCCTTTGCTGCCATATTTGATGGTTCACTGCCATGGAGCCCATCTGTGCCCCGTGTGTGTGTGTGTGTGTGTGTGTGTGTGCGAGTGTGTGTGTGTGTGTGTGTGTGTGAGAGAGAGAGAGAGAGAGAGAGAGAGAGAGAGAGAGAGAGAGAGAGAGAGAGAGAGAGAGAGAG